ACGGAGTGGGCTCCAGATCTATTGCTTGGAAACACAACCTTCTCGAAAGCCTTTCACGACTCGACTGAAGACGTTTTTACGCAATGACGAAAGCCTCCTTTTCTAAAGCTCGACTGTGTACCTCGCGTTGGTGAGGTCGCACTTGGCCTTGAACAGATCAACCCCCTCCGAAAGCGCGAACTGCTCGCAGTTTTCGACGGTAGCAGGAACAATTGCCGGTACACCTTTCCCTCGGTCGGCCGCCGTATCATCGGCAGTCCTCTCCTTACCAGCCGTGTTGACGATACTATCTTCCTGGTTCCAGTAGATGAACCTATTCAAGACCATTTCGAGGAGTAAAGGATGACGCATCTTTCATGACTTCGTCATCTCGTTTGAGCGGCATCCGAAAGCTGCTTCCTACACGGAGCCGCGAGCCTTGCAGCTGCTTGTTTCAGAACAGAAACAGACACGGGGCTTCGCGTGCTCCTCCTAACACCGTAAAACGCTGATGGCACATTGGATGGCACCTATACGCGGAAATTTTATCTCTTCTTGTGCGGGGGGTCGGCGGTATGACTCCCACTCTTCTGAGGCCAACCCTGGGACTATCACCGTGTAACGAGGCCGTAGAGGGTAAGATTCTCGGAAGTGAGTGTCAAGTTTCATCTCGTCTGTCTTCTATTTCTAGGTCGAAAAGCACAAGCAGCTACCTCTCGTCGGCACGCAGGTGCGTCGGTTTACTTCTTGTGGTAAATGCCAATCGACGGATACCCTGCAAATCGGGTACTCTCCACACGCACGAATTTACTCTCAACTGGGAACCTCTTGTGACCAGGACGGGTAATTCGATGCAAGTGTCATAGGTTCTAGGATCGACTCCAAGAGGTGCCAGGCGCCCAACAACGTGAGAACATGCAGCCGCACCTCCTGAAGACCTCGGCCGTCAAGACAGCGTTCTCAACGTAACGATACACTATCGGCACCTCGCGTCCCTCGAGGTTTGTCACGCGAGAACCAGACATATCGAACTTCCCGGCCTTCGCCAGAACGAGAACAGCAGCAGCGGTAACAGGAAATTTGGGGCGGCGAACAGAACACGTGCACGTGGTTTGCTATCGCAAGTTTGGAGCAGACAGAACGCGCTACACGACGGGAGCACCCAACATCAACCACTCCCCAAACCTCAAACGTTAAAACAGCGAAATGTAGCTGCTTTCCATGCGTTTCCGATCCAATACCCCTGCAAAAACCTTTCGAATGGCGGAGTGATTTGGACGCGAAGCGCGATGGACCCACACATTTCCAACATGACGACAGGTACAAAGTGTTCACGCTGCATGTAGAATTTGTGGGGCTGACTCAGAAGTACTTCGTTTTTGTAGCAAGGACGCTGTGGATCCCTGCCATGTACGTAGCTTTGGGTGCTCGTGTGTTTGGCGTGGCGGATAAAATTATTCCGCCTCTCTACAGGGTTTCGTATTTGCCCCTGCGCATGAATCACCAATGTGGCGGGTAGCTCCAGTGTCCCGCAGGGCTTGTCAGCATCTCCCTAGAAAATGACGAAATAACGGAAAATCCACGAACTACAAACAGATGTGTTCCAGACAAAGAATTCAACAGTTTTTTTTCACCTTGTACCGCTCTGCTTTCGTGTTGGGGACAAATATGCTTCGACGTTTGTATAACTTCCCAGATGAAGCATGGGCACAGATATACGGCGAAGCGAATTGATGTACCGTGAAATTCAATACGGATATATATTATTGTATGCTGTGAAAGATCTGACATGAACAAGCAGCGATCGAGAGCTTCAACTGCACACCATTGGACCCTGTACCACGAAAGACTCCGGTAATCTAGCGGTTACATTCTGCTGTATAAGCTCACCGACACGTCGGTCACGGGTCCAGAAGACTGGTCGAACCTCAGCACCCCCTGCACCCCCCCGCTGTACAGCAAATAGTCGTGCAAGCCCGCGTCCACACCGGCCTTCTCGCACGCCTGAAACCCTGCCGAGGAGAGGACCTCAGACATCTGGCGGGCGTAGTCGACGACGAGGCTGGAAGTTCCCAGGCTAACGCCCGAGTGGATGGCGGGCTTGTCGGCGAGTCTGGCGAGGACCGAGGCCCCGAGACAGTCTTGTATTTTGGTGGAGTGCTCCTGGCTCTTGCCGATAAGCTTGTCGTCCGTGAAGGTGTACACTCCTGAGCAATGGTAGTAGTTGACGTGCACGGCGTGGCAACACAGGCCATTGTTGACAGCTGGTTTTCTTGCTTTTGGATGTGTTGAAGTCGGAGGTGGGCGACAAAGCCAACCCCTTTCGTGCAAAGGGAGAGCTTGCAGGTATTTATACCCCATCGGCCGCCCGAGCTGCTTCGTAGAGTGCATTTATATATGACGAGACGCTTTGTCGACGACGCCGAGCGTACACTTCGAGTCTCCTAGCACTGTTACTGAGGCTGCTTCCGTATAGTGGGCTTTGTCCGTTGTCTTTCGTATTTGGCCTTGGTGGGGCTTGAAGAGTACCTTGTATGATTTGCCTACGATTCGTCGGTCGGCACACGTACCCCCCCCCCCC